CAGCCACTGTCCTGGATCCTGACCCCCTCCGCTTCTCCAACAGCCTTTCTTTTTTCCTCCCAGCCTGGGCGTCTATAACTTTGGACTGTTGGGTCCTCAATACTGTGGTGCAGGACTATGCCCTCCAATTGGTTTCTACCCCCCCATCACACCCTCCCTCCCCGTCCCTCTTCAGGAACCCCTCTCACAAGAGTCTACTGCATCAGGAGGTGCAAGTCCTGCTGCAGGCGGGGGCCATGAAAGAAGTCCCCCTAGACTTCAGAGGCCAGGGGTTCTACTCCCGTTACTTTCTGATTCCAAAGGCCAAAAGGGGCCTAAGGCCTATCCTGGACCTGCGAGACTTCAACAAGTATCTCAAGAAGTTGAGGTTCCGCATGGTCTCCCTGGCTTCCTCCATCCCCTCCCTCGATCCAGGGGACTGGTATGCCACTCTCAACTTGAAGGATGCATACTTTCATATAGCGATCTTTCAAGGACACAGATGCTTCCTCTGCTTCACAGTGGGATCCACGCATTATTAGTTTGCGGTGCTCCCCTTCAGCCTTGCAATGGCACAGAGGGTGTTCACAAAATGCATGTTGGTGGTGGCAGCTTACCTCAGGCATCGAGGTATCCTGATCTACCTGCCCCGTACCTCAATGACTGGCTGGTCAAGGTCACTCCAGGTCCCAGGTCCAGGATGCTGCTGACCACGTGCAGGAGACTGGGCCTGTTGATAAACAAGGAAAAATCAATGTTGGTCCCTGTGCAAAGAATAGAGTTTATCGGGCGGTCCTCGACTCCACGAGGGCGAAGGCGTTTCTGTCGCTCGTCAGGTTCCAGACGATGAGGAACCTCATCGCCAGAGTCTCTGCGTTTCCTCTCACAACGGCAAGAGTCTGCCCACGGCTGCTGGGCCACATGGCAGGGTGCACATACATCATCTGCTATGTGAGGCTCCGAATGAGACCCCTCCAGCAGTGGCTGGCTACAGTCTGTGCCCCATCCAGGGATCACCTGGACAAGGTTGTCAGCATCCCACCAGAGGTACTCACCATGTTGCAGTGGTGGACCTACCCTGGAACAGACCTCAATGGAGTTCTGTTCGACAGCCCGCGTCCTTTGGTATCGCTGATATCAGATGCCTCAAACCTCGGCTGGGAGCGCACCTCAGTGCGATGCGGATGCAAGGTATGTGGTCCGCAGAGGAGATGACGTTGCATATAAACGTCAAAGAGCTCAGGGCGGCTCGCCTCGCCTGCGCGGTTTTCCTCCCACAGTTATCCGGCTGAGTGGTTCGAGGGCTAAGTGGTTCGAGTGTTGACAGACGACACGGCCTCGATGTTTTACATCGACAGGCAAGGGAGAGTGCGCTCGTCGGCCCTCTGTCAAGAGGCACTCCGCCTATGGGATTTCTGCATCCAACATGCGATCCACCTGGAAGCCTATCACCTCCCCGCCCATCCCAGTCGTCAGCAGAGTCTTGTCAAAAATCAAGAGGGACAAGGCCAAAGTCATTATGATCGCCCCGGCGTGGCCGCGCCAGCATTGGTTTAGCACACTGTGGGATCTGGCAGTAGCCTCCCCGTGGCCGCTGCCTGACTGTCCGGACCTTCTCTTGCAAGACCATGGTCGCCTCCTGTATCCCAACCTCTCCTCCCTCCACCTCACAGTGTGGATGCTGCATAGTTGAACCCAGAGGAGCAAGCCTGTTCCAGGGAGGTGCAGCAGGTCCTTTTGGGAAGTAGAAAATCCTTCACTAGAGTGACTTATCTGGCGAAGTGGACAAGGTTCTCCCACTGAGCGTCTGAGAATAGCGTCTCCCCGAAGCGCTCTTCTCTGCAGTCAGTCTTGGTATATCTTCTCTTCCTGAAGAATCAGGGCCTGGCCCTCTCTTCTATCAAGGTTCATCTAGCTGTCATCTTGGCTTTTCATCCGCCGATCCAGGGTAGATTGGTGTTCTCGCAGGAGATTTACATCAGGTTCCTGAAAGGCCTCGAAAGGCTCTTCCCTCCCGTTAGGGATCCTGTCCCACAGTGGGACCTCAGTCTGGTTTTCTCCAGACTCATGGGTCTGCCATTTGAACCCTTGGGCTCTTGTTCCCTTTCCCACCTATTGTGGAATGTCGCCTTCCTGGTGGCAGTGACACTGGCTAGACGAGTGTTGGAGATTAAAGCCCTGACCTCAGAGCCACCTTACACGGTCTTCTTCAAAGACAAGATACAGTTGCGACCCCGCCCAGCCTTCCTGCCGAAGGTGGTGTCTTCCTTCCATATCAACCAGAGCATCTTCCTCCCGGTATTCTGTCCTAAACCACACAAGATCAATGAGGAGAGGCAGCTGCACGCCCTGGACTTCGCCGTACCTTGGCCATTTACCTGGAGCATACCAAGCCCTTCCGCAGGTCGACGCAACTCTTCATCGCGACAGTGGACAGGATGTAGGGCCTTCTGATGTTCTCTCAAAGGATCTCTAACTGGATTACCTCCTGCATCCGGACCTGTTATGAGTTGGTGCAGGTCCAACTGCCACCTCTGGTGAAGGCCCTCTCAACGAGAGGGCAAGCGTCCTCGGCAGCCTTCCTGGCACACGTTCCCATCACACCTTCACAGCACACTGCGCCATCACCCAGCAGGCCAGAGATGACGCTGGGTTCAGCAGAGCTGTGTCACAAACTACAAATCCATGAACTCCTGCCCACCTCCGTTGGTACTGCTTGGGAGTCACCTAACATGGAATGGACATGAGCAAGCACTCGAAGAAGAAGAAAAGACAGTTACCTGTTCCGTAACTAGTGTATTTCAAGATGTGTTGCTCATGTCCATTCCATTACCCACCCTCCTTCCCCACTGTCAGAGTTTCCTGCAAAAAGGAACTGAGGGTGGGGGGAGCCGGCGGCGCCCCTTATACCGCACCATACGGACACCGCCAGAGCTGGTCCCCTATGGACACCACTGAGGGGAAACTTCGGCACCGGTGCATGTGGCGAGCACACACACCTAACATGGAATGGACATGAGCAACACGTCTCGAAGAACACCAGTTACAGAACAGGTAACTGTCTTTTGATTTCACTTTCCTTCTAACCCAAGTTGATGTTATTAAGGAGTGTGGTTTTCTTTCTCGACTGTGGCCTTTTTAGACATCTATTAAAATGTTTTAAAACAATTCCCATGTTATTATTCAAACTTTTTGTTTACATTTTTTTGTGCACTGATTTGGCTCATCAGTTGTTTTGAGCTTTGTGAAATTGGCCCTTTTAAAGCACCAAGTATATATATTACTTATTTGGACTTTTTTCTGCTGAACATAACAAATGTGATCAAATCATAGTCACTTGTACCTAAGCTACAAGACAAGGTGTATTATAGAATTTCCTCTTGTTGGATTCAGCACTTTTTGCGTTAGGAAGTGTATCTATAATCTATAATTACATCTATAACTTTTAGAAATTCTGAAGTGCTTTAGCATCGGCAGCATGAGACCTCTAGCGTGCCACACAGATGAAGTTCCCCATAATCACGCAGCTTTTTTCCCTACACATTATAGATATGTGCGTAAGGAGTCAGTTGTCCAGTTATCTAGTGTGATTTGGTGATCACTAGCAGACACCATCTTGTGCTTTATCTGTTAGGACACTGATCATAAGCATGCAAGATTATTTGCTTCCAAGTCATCAGTGACTCAGAAACTGGTAATGCAATTTTTGACATAGAGTGCTTCTCCCCCTCTTCTTTTGTTCCTCATTCCTTCCTAAATAAGTTATAACCAGTGATTTTAACATTCCAGTCATGTGAACCTTTCCACTAGATTTCTGTAATACCAATTAGGTTGAATTTATGCTCATAAATGAGCCATTCCAGTTCCTTATGTTCATTATCCAGGCTCCTAGCATTGGTGGGGAGGCAATTAAAAAATTTCTTCTCTTCACTTCCTTTGGTGTCTTGATTAATTTTGTTCTCAACATCTTGACTTTGTGCTAAATGAGTGCTCATTTGTTTTCTCTTTTCACCCTCCACGCTTGTTTTTAATTTAACGCCCTCCTGACTACTCTAGTTGGGTCGTGTAGCTCAGGCAATAGACGTTCATACTTGTAGCTCCAGAAGTCTTGGGTTTGGACCTCACTACAAATGACACATCCAGGGGTGTTGTGTTAAATGATGATGTAATTAAAGGTTGTATCATAATACATTTCTCAAAAGAACAGAATTAATGTTGCACAGACATCCTCAATTCTGGGATTTCCTAGCTTTTGAGTGCTTGACTTCACAAGTGTAACAATACTTTTTTAAAATAGTTTTTGTATGGATTATCATATTAATCTGACTGGCTGTTTTTAGATTGTATGGTTAAATAATTGAAAAAGACAGACCAAAAAAAGCCTGAAGTTCACCAGAATATACACAAAAACTTGTAGTTGGTGGAGATCTAATTTGGAGAACAGGCCCTCAATTTTTTTCCCAAAAGTATGGCAAGTATGTATGAATTCCAGCAGGAACAATTGGGCTCCAGTGCCTACAGATTCTCAATATCTTTAATTTCAAAATAATTGGTTGTGTTTGAGAAAATAATTCTCTCACTGTTCCTCTGAAAAAAGTATGCCAGTGCTCAGAATATTGCCAAATTCAATCCATCTGTTTACCTGGATGGAATATGTATGTTGATCGTATTAGGGATTGAGACTAGAAATAGCATTCAGGTATAGTATAAATGTGGTGAATGATTTCAGACCACTATGGGTGTGTTATGTGGGAAAGAGCACTTTGCATTGTTCCTCAGGGAATATTTGTAGACAGTTAAGCAGCTGTTTTAACTAGTTCTGAAGTGAATTTTATTGAGTCATCTTCAGTCAGAAAGATGGTGCCTTGCCAGCATGTGTTTGTAGGATTAAAATAGGAAGAAACAGCATGGGAGATCTTCAGGGCCTCAAGATAAAAGTGTGGAGAGGGCCCCTTAGGGGTTGGGCAGAGGGGAAATGATGCACAGAAAGTTATTTTACACATTGTCTTCTGTTTTCACAGTCACTCATATTTGGAGAAGTTCCTGACAGAACAGATGATGGAAAGGAGGGAAGATGTATGGCTTCCACTGATTTCCTATAGAAATTCACTAGTTACTGGGGGCGAAGACGACAGGATGTCTGTGAACAGCGGAAGTAGTAGCAGCAAAGCATCTTCAGTGAGGAATAAGAAAGGACGACCTCCACTTCACAAAAAAAGGGTGGAGGGTATGTATGGCTTTACATTATGCCTTTAATTAATACATTAAATTAATTAACCCTTCTTTTCTTTCATGAGTTCTGTCTAGCTTTGGAGTTGACACTGAAATATACACATACACACTGCACTGATTAAAAAAAAATCTTGTTTTACAAATTCCTGTAGATTTTTCTTTTTCTTTATGAAATTGTTTACACGTATCCCCACTCTTGGGGATATATGCTGAGATTTGCAGATCCAGAACCATTAAAAGCATTTGATCTTAGCGTGGAGATAGTATATGATTACAAAGTTACATGTTAGCCCCACTGCTTGTTCCCCCTCTGATTTCTGTTTTTCTAACTTGTTTTCTAACTTGTTCCAATCTGGAAATTACATTCTCTCACTAGCATTGCCACACAAACCCAAGTGCTAAATTCTGACATAGCCTGACATTTTGGCAAAAACATAGGAAAAATGATAGAAAGGAAAAATATAAAAATTAGTAAAACTTTAGAGAAAGGTGACTTACTAGTATCTAGTTCCTGGAGGTGATGGTCTGTATTGAGCTACATCTGTTGGATGCACATTCATCCTTGTTACAGAGCCATCTAGAAAACAGTGTCCATTGCGACCCCACACATGCTTCATAAAGGATCCACATGTTCATACATAATGGCATATAGGGAGCCGACATCCCGAGCGCCACCCATTCCTTGTCTCCATCTACTCTAAGTTCCATTTTAAGATTCCAAAGAAACAGAGAACTCAGGTGGGAAGTATCAAACAGTAACCTTATCCCCTCCTAAGCAATGCTTGCAGGACTGCTTTCCCAAAGTGGGCATCAAACCTAAAGACAAAATCAATAGAGTATTGCTGTGCCTTGATCTTCATTTAGAGACATTTCTGAGTCCTGCTGTGAAGGCAGCTTTTGTATAGATGAAATGAGGTTTAAAACCTTCAGGTACAGACACTCTTGCAAAGTCATAGCAGGTTTTCAGTCAAAGTCTCTATTAGTTCCCTCTGTGTTAGTTTCTATATTCAGAAATTATACAGAGGACTTACAAAAAAGCTTACTCCTTTCCAAATTGCAACTGAGGGCATGTCTACACTTACTGGGGTTCGATGCTGCTGCAATCGATGCACCGGGGGTCGATTTAGCGGGTCTTGGGAAGACCCGCTAAATTGACTGCAGATCGATCTCCTGTCAACTCTGGTACTCCACCGGAACGAGAAGAGAAAGGTAAGTTGACGGGAGACACTCTCCCGTCGACGCACTGTAGTGTAGACACCGCAGTAAGTCGACTCCAGCTATGTTATTCACGTAGATGGAGTTGCATAACTTAGGTCGACTTACCCCGGTAGTGTAGACAAGATCTAAAAAACCATTGGGAGCATGCTAGGCAGAAGAAAATCATTACAAGCTGACCCTTGAAAGAGAAAGTAGAAATAACGAGCCAATTTTATCATAACAATTGACTAATAGCAGGTTGCCACAAGATTCAGGATTGAGGTATTGAATACTAGGATCCAATTCTAGGATTAATGAGCCAGAAAAGTTGCTGGGAACCAAGGCCAGGCAGGGGGTGTGAGCTACGATGGGGTGGAGATGCAGTGGGGGGTCAGTGGGGTTGCAGGCTGAGAGTGCAGGGGGTAGGATGGTGGTGTGGAGTGCAGGGGACAAGGGGCTGGGCTGGGGCAGCCTGGTGTGGGCTGGGCCAGTGTGTGGGGGCCAAGATGCAGAGACTCTGACTTTGCCCAGTGGGAAGGAGCCTGCCAACTCCTGTGCTAGGGGGATGGGCATCCAAGCTGCCAATTCACCTGGGCTCAATGGGCTGGAAGCTGTCCTCTGCTGATGCCCACGTCCCTCTGTGGCTGAGCAGGGGCTTGCTCCCCTTTAGAGCCCTGGGCACCTGGTGCCAACCTATCTGGAAAGGGTACACGTTGGGGTCTCTCCAACCCAGCTGCATGAAGTTTGGGGGTGGGGGTAGTAGCATCTGGGAAGACACTAGGAGTCCAAGGCTAACTTTTAAGGAGTTGGGAGGGGGCGGTGTTTTGCCTAGGGCAGCAGATCGGATTGAGTGGCCTCTGCCAGTGATTAGGCAGTTGGACCTTGGGGTCTCAGCTCAGGATGTGTTAGAGGATCCCAGACAGGAGCAGTGCCTGGAGTCTGTTCAGGCTCTGGAGGCTTAAAGAACACAGGGATTCAGTTTGGATCGCCTCACAGCAGTTTGGTGAGTATCCAACAGGGGGAGCTCAGCCAGATCTGGGACAGACGCAGCCGACAGTCTGGTCAGGAGTCTATATATGGTTGATTCTCGACACAAATCTGCTCTCTGTATGGATTTCCACTGGCATTACTTAGTGCCCAAAGAAAATCAAGCACAAAGGAGGAATTGAAAAGAGACTATGAGATAAATTTGAATGGCAGAGGTGCTTCAATGGCATTCGTGTTATGGTAAATTCAGGAACAAGCAGGCAACAGTTAAGCCCAAAAAGAAAAAGGCATGAGAAAAATGACAAAATCCAATGGAATCTCCCTTCCCTGCCCTCCTTTCCTAATCCCTCTCATCGCTTACTTCTCCTTTCCCCCATCAGTGAAACAGATCTCTTGTCTGTTCTCCTCTAATCCCCCCGCCTGCCCCAGCAACTTTATCCCATTTCCTGATCTCCCTCGCTCACGCTGTAATCGTCTCCCTCAACTTTCTTCTCAATCTCTCCCTTCCCTCTGGTTCATTCTCTTCGCAGTGCAAGCAAGCATCCTTTAGTCTCTCCCATGTTAAAAAAACTCATGGTTGATTCTGGTTGCATCTCCAGCTAGCCATCTTCCTTCTTCCCTTCATTTGTAGGCTCATTGAACGCTCTGTCTGCAATTGCTGTCTGGAGTTCTTTTCCTCCACTTCCATTGTAAACAGAGACTCTCCTTTCTAGCTTCTGCTCGCTCCACTCCCACCAAAGTCTCTGATGACCCATCCTTGGCCAGATCTCCATCCTTATCTTGTGCTCCTCCTCATCTGTTTGTTATATCCACATGTTGTCTCTCATGTTATAAATTGATTTAGGGTGGGAACCATCTTTGCTCTGTGTATGTTCAGCACCTGGTTCTCTAGGCACCGCTGCAATACAAATATTTATGATTGATTATTATTATTGTTGTTTATTAGAGTACCTGCTTTGAGATTGAAATATTGTTGGGAATACCTGGTAGTTCAAAGAAGGGGGGTGAATCTTGTTCCTAATTCTTCTTTGGCATAAGGAGTTGGGATCCTTCCTCCTCAGTACTAATACAAAACTAAATTAGAGCTGGAAATTAAACTTCTTGGAAATTAATCCAAATTGATCCATCACCCAGTTACCTATCTATGGTGTAAAATACTGAATTTGTAAACTTATAGTTTTGCAGAATTTGCTCTAACTGAGGTAGTGAGCTGTATCAAAATGTACCAGTGGATGAATACATAAATTCAAGTCCTCAATTAGCACTGTATTTGCGTTCTAAAGCTTATACTCGATGCAATATGTGCCACCAGTAAATATCCTGTTTAAAAGTTGGCCTGAATAAGATATGAATCATAGTAATATTGTGCTGAATAAATTCACTGTCTCAAGTAACTAGCTAAATGTAATTTATATTTTTATAGATGAGAGTCTGGAAGGCTCATGGCTAAACAGGAACGACACCATTCAAACTCCAGGGGCTCTGCAAACACCACAGCTCACTTCAACTGTATTGAGAGAGAACACTAGACAAATGGGAGAGCAGATTCAAGAGCATGAGTCAGAACATGGATCTGAACAAGATTTTTTACACAAGTATGTACCAAGATGTTATGCTCAAATGTATTGTGCTGAACAAGAAACACATGCTAAACAAAACAGTTGGGATAGCAGTAACAGTTATACAACGTGTTTGTGGTTTTACATTTGCAGCATATATTTTGGAGAGAAAAAATCTCTTGCCTGGTAATTCCATGGGTTAACCTGGTATAAATTGTGTCAAATAATAATATCATTTTTAGATTCTCAGAAAAAAACTATGTTAAAACAAAGGTAGAAAGGGCATATCCATAATTTAGGGGGGAAATATATTACAAGGATGCTGAAATTATCCAATGCAATAACAATACAATTATTTTAAGGCATTTTAGTGTCTGTTGCCCTCAATTAGTTTTAAATGATTTTTAAAGACATGGGATTTTTCTTTTATTTTTTCACCACCACAAGGCAGAGTTAAGGTTATTTGGGTGCCCTAACTGTGCATTTTCATAAATTGAAAAATGTTTGAATTTCTTTTAAGTTTAACTTAAAAGCTCTTTTCCTGAGTTTATAATGCTTGTTTGGGGGATAATTATAACATACCTGTAACTTATTTTACCCTAAATTACTGATCTTAACTCCAACTTTTTGTAGTTTGTCTGGGAATTTCCTTGGTTATCTTAATTTAAAAGTTTATACATGAACAAGAAACTGTGAGAATGCTACTATGTGATATTTCTAATATTTTGAAGATATGTAATATCAACCATACATTTTGTTTGTTTGTTTTAACTTTTATAGGCAGATTCACTGGTATGCTCTAGCTGCTTTTTTATAGGCAGATTCACTGGTATGCTCTGGCTGCTTTATATCATTCTGGAGCAAAGCAGCCAGGCCATACTAGCCAATGAAACTGAGTTTACAGGAACTTTGTTTTGCCAGTGTAGTGCAAAGTGTAGTGCAAAGCAGCCAGAGTATACTGTCTTGAAGTTGACCCGAGAAGAAACTTACTGACGTGGCATCTAAAAATAATAAATACAAAATCAGTGCTGTGACTGAGTTAGTAATGCTGCTCTGTATGTGTTAGTCCCCAGATGCAGATATCTTGGTTGGGCCAGCAGAAGCTAGAAGATTTAAATCGAAAGGACAGGACAGGAATGAATTACATGAAAGGGAGAAGTGGTGTAAGACATGCAGTGTAAGTGTTCAAACCACCAAAGATCCTTTTCGTGATGAGTAATTGAATCAGTGAATCTGTTAATGATGGACTTAACCCTGCCCTGTGTAGTTGCTATTTTATTAGGGTTTGTAAAACATTTTATGTCTCTTAATACAAGCACACTAACAGCTTTATGAAGTTATGATGTGCATCAGCAGAGGGAGTGTGGGCTAAGGTTTGGCACTCAGCTCTGCAAGACATTGATTGCTCCGGCCCCATCCATCAAAGCACTTTAAGCATAAGAGTACTCCCACCAAAGTCAGTAGGACCACTCATATGAATAATCATTTGCTGAAGTGCTTTGCTGGATTGGGGCCAGAGTGCCCAGCACCTTACAAGATCAAGCCGTTAATGCTCAGGCCTGGGAACCAGTTTTGGGTTCTATTCTCAGAATTCCTGGTGATTTACTGTGAGACCTTGAGCAAGTCACGAGACCTCTCTGTACTTGCTTGCCCCATTGTAAAATGAAACTATTACCACTTGCCTGCCCTAGAGGGTTGTTGTAAGGTTTAATGCTTCGAGTAGCGTCCCTAGGAGTGTTCCACTTCCAGTGTGCATGCACCTCTCGAGCCCTTGATCAGAGATTTTCAGTTAGCAGTGTCTGTTCAACTCGCGCATGCATCCTATGCCTCCTGGTACCAGACACCAAGGCTATACAGTTCTCAATCACCTCAGCCTGAGACAGTCCCTTAGTTTGCACCTTGAGTGTGCCTTGGCTTATCTATTTTTCTATACTTGTTAAGATAGTTAGTATTGTCAGTTGTTAGTACAGTTATATTAGTTAGGTAAGTATTGAGAGGATTGTGTTTTTTCTCCTCTTTTCCCTTCAGGAGGCTTGTTTTTCCTAGCAGGGCATGCCTGGCTCACCAGGCTTCAAATGCTGCCTCTCCTGCCAAGAGGTTATACCTGTAAGGACAGCCACTCTAAGTGTGTCTGTTTGTTGGGGGAGTCCCACATCTCCAAGAAGTGCAACCTCTGCCTGGCCCTCAAGTCCAGGGCAAAGAAGAACAGGGAGATTAAACTCTCACTATTGATGATGGAACACTACCTTAGGCCAGCTTCTGAGTCAGGCCAGGAGACACCCCTCCACATACCTGTCTCTCAACTGATCCAGTGCCCTTTCAACCTCAGCACAGGCTTCCCCTAAGAAGGTGAAGACTTTGGAGGCTTCATTGAAGACTTTTAAAAAGAGGAATGCATACTCTCACATTAAGGAGCCAGCTCTGAAAAAGCCCAGGAGAGTTCTACAGAGGAGATTTACAGTCTCCAAAGCCTCAACCTCTTGACTTGGTACCATTGAGTTGGAGGACTCCTCCTCTGGTACTGGGGAGGTGGTGAAGTCCCAAAGCTTAAAGGAGAGACATGTCTCCCATAGGACCTCGGTACCCTCTACCAGCAAGGAGGGAAAACATACTGGACTGGCACCATCAAGCTCAGACCAGATGTTGGTACCTATGTATTTGTCACCAAGCAAGCATCGGTGCCAGACACCATCAACATCTACTTCAGTACACTCACCATCAATGGTACCGTCAACTTCAGCAACTGTGTGCTCAGCTACTGCATCGGTAGTGATCCCCTACTCGGTACCACAAACATTCAGTTACACAAAGGATCTCTCTATAATGGATGAACCAAAGTCCCTGCTCTTTATGGGTACCAAGCCTCTCTCAGTACCAAGATCTCAATCTCCTGACCACCTTCCTCTGGTAATGTAGGACTCTGCACCACTTTCTGTGAGTGCTCCTCCATTGGATGAGATGGAGGAGGATGAAGGAGACTTCCAGTCAGTCTCCTCTATTTCTGTTCAGGGTTCTCCAGCATATCCCTTCAGGAACCTACTCTCTGACAGTCACAGGGAAGATCATTATTAAGCGTGGTAGAACCAACCCTGTATGCCATCCCCACTTCCACATGAGTCTCGCCTTGGCCATACTTGGATCCTGGGGCTGCTTATTGGAAACAATTGGCCTGACCACCAGTACCATCTTATAGGGAGGCCAGAGTTATACAGCCTTCTCCTCCCCAACCAGCCCCCTCAACACCACAGGAGGAGACGTTTGAGAAACAAGAAGCCAGGGCACATAAGGAGACCACCACTCAAACACCTATTTCATCCTCTTCAGTTGAACCAGTTGCCTCCACCATCATCCATGGCTGATGATTTTCAGCAATTTTAAGATTTCATAAAGCGGGTAGCTGACTCCCTTCAAATTCTACTCAAAGAGTTCAAGGATTCACAGCACAAACTGTTGGATATCATGCAGTCAGCAACACCCTCTAGAGTGGCATTACCCATCAGTGAGGCACTCCTAGATATAGCTGAGACTGTGCGGCGGACACCTACCACTATTCCGCCTTTGTGTAAACAGGTGGATAAGATGTATTATGTCCCCCCTAAGGATTCTGATTTTTTGTTCTCCCACCCTCCACTTGACTCCCTATTGGTGGATGTGGTAAATGAGCATGGTAGGCAGCACTTCTCTAAGTCCACTGTATATGACGAAGACAAGAAAGACTGGATCTCTTTGGACGAAAGTCATATGCATCAGCAATCCTACAATTCAAGATCGCAAACTATCAGGCAGTTGTGGCCAAATATAATTTTACAAATTCACAGCTTTTATTGAACATCTGCCACTGTAATATAGGGAGCAATTCCAGTCCATCATTTCTGAAGACCAATTATTGGCCAGAACTCCTCTTCAAGCATCCTTACATGCGTCAGACACTGCTGCCAGGTCCATCTCCATGGTGGAGTTATGTGCGGGGCATCATGGCTCCAACTCTTGGAGTTTCAGAGAGAAGTACAGAACACTTTGGAGGACCTCCCCTTCATGGTCGTAAACTTTTCTCGGAGACCATAGATGAGTCCTTGCACACACTGAAGGATTCTAGGGCTACTTTACAATCCCTGGGCATATATACACCTACAAATAAGAAAAGGTTTAGTAAGTCACAGACTTCCCAGAGATTGTGTCCTGCTCTGTTTTCTGGATTCCACAGAGCTTCCGAACTGCCAAGGAAAAGACACAGATTTCATAGAAAGAGGGCTGCCCAACTACCCTCCACAACCACCTAATCATCTTTGAAGCAACAGTTTAGATGGTTGGTCAAGAGTTTGAATCCTCCCTCAAATCTGATTTTACAGCTGCTCCCATTGCCCCCCCCCCCATCTCCCTTTGGAAGACCAACTTTGCCTATTTCCAACATGCTTGTGGGAGGATCACTACAGGCAAGTGGGTCATAGAGGTCATAACATCAGGCCATACCATGCATTTTATATCACTCCCCACCTTGCATCCCCCTTTCCCATCCCTCTTCAGAATCCCCCTCTCAAGCTTTTAATGTGACAAGAAGTGAATTCTCTCCTTCAGTTAGGAGCAATAGAGCCAATCCCTCCTCCTCACAAGGGCAAGGGATTTTACTCAAAGTATTTCCTTGTGCCAAAGAAGGACAGAGGGTGGGAACCGCTCTTAGAGCTAAGACTTCTAAACATATTCATAAAGTCTCAAAGGTTCAAGATGGTGACTCTGGAAGTTATAATTCTTTGAGTGATGGTCTCTACTGTATTCCACTGAGGGTTATACTCAGGCGCCATGTGTCTGAAGCTGGAGATTTTAAAAGTAGTAGTGTCTGTTGGTCCGCGCATGCACCCTTGCTCCGTCTCATGGTTTGGTCAGAAGTGATAAAGAGCAGGGAGGACCGACTAGGCCCTCAGTTCCTTCTTACTGCCACATGGCCCGAGTCGGAGCCTCTGCTGTTCTTTTGTCTCGTGATGCACTTTCTAAAACACATGCTTGTATATAGTTAGTATTTTTGTTGTTTTTGCAGTAGTTTAATGTTCGTAGTAGTTTTTAGGATTTTGACAGACTTTGGGGTGCTGTTTACTGGTCTGCTTTCCCCATCACCCTCCCCAGCACACACATCTGGGTATTGGATTATGCTGAAGACGTTGGGGTTCAAGATCTGCGCCTCTGGCCCTCGCTTGTTCTTGATCAGTGACGTGCACCAACACTGCCTTTACTGATTGGGAGAAGCCAATCCGGGTGCAGTATCTGCCTGTCCTTCCCACGCCTCTCCTACCCCACCTGGGAAGGCTGATCTGTACCTCAAGAAGCACCTCCTGGAGGTCACCATGAGGCCACAGTCGGATCCAGGTTAGGGAACCCCCCCGTCCAACGGCCTGAGCGATCTAGGCGCACACCTCCTACCGCAAAGACTCAGTCTAGTTCCACTGGTACCAGTGCTATGGATTCCATCCTGGGGCCTAGTCATCAGGCAAGAAAGCATATGCATAAGCATGGCAGTAAATCTTCCTCCAGGCCCAAGAAGGAAACTGCACCGTCCACAACTTCCAGCTACAGAGAAGCAGCATGTTCCAAGGCTCACAAGCACAGCAAGCAGTCACACACACAATGCCGGACCCACCAATTCTGTCCATCGAGTCATATATCCATTCCAGATCAGCACCACTGAAGTCAAGGGAACCCTCAGTCCTCCGTTCCAGCTCCGGTTCTGACTGCGGAGCGTGTACCGTTGACATTTGAATTGGCTCCCGAGCCTCATGAACTCTTTGCCTTGGAGGAAGTGACGTCTCCACGTCTTCAGGTTCAGTTGCCATCTAAGGGGTATGCTGTCCTACCTTGGACTTACCTCCTTCAGATCATGTTCCTGCCTGCTCCCTTACATCTCCTGCAGTTCCGACGGTACCACCGTTGGAACCAGGCTCTGACTTTTCAGCATCAGAGGACTTAGATAAAGCGCAGGATCTGCCCCTCCTATACCGTCAATATGACTACCCGAAGGTTCCGCCAACTCAGTGGCAGTGCTCTCCCTTTCTCCAGCAAAGGAATCATTGGTACCCCACTCCTGGGGGGCCTTCCGCAGCAACTATTGGATCCACCTTGTTGGCTGTACTGGGGGACCTGGCCCCAGTATCTGCCTTCGGAACCTTCCCGCTCAGCTTGGGAGGAGTC